TATTTTTCATGTTTTCAGTTACCTTGTTCTTTTTTCTCATGAAACATGCCACTCATAAGCCGCATGTGTCACAGGAAAGTCTGAGCGCTATACAGATTTGCATTTTCGCGTATCCATTTTTCATTTTTTCTCTTGCATTTGTGTGCAGCGATTGGCAGTTTTAATTCTTTTGGCAAACATCTGGTGAAACGCCCGTGTCAGTTGTCATTTATATACTGCACGTAGCGCTGGCTTGCACAGACACTGAAAGAACGGCGGCGAAGAGAAAGGGTTTGCAGAGAGTGCAGCCGGCGATAGCAGTAACGACACGTTAGTGCAACAACCTCGCCATTAGATGGCGTGTTTCGTAGAATTTCTGGTTGGTACTTGTTGGAAGTGAATTTAGTGGATGATATTGGCTATTTTCTCCCACACCCTTTCAAGGATATAATGTTTCGGAATTTACGGACAGTGATGTGGTGATGAGGCTGCACTGTTTTTGCGCATTCAACTTTGATTGAGCGTCTAGAGCCTTCTCTCTAGAAGCGTTGGTTCAAAAAATATTAAAAGTCGGAAACAAGGTGTACGCCAAAAATGCCTTCTTTCAGGTCGCAATCCTTCATGCTTGTTGTGTCCAACTATAGGCGGTGCATTGAAGTGCACAGACACGAATCAATGGGCGCACGTTGTGTGTGCGTTATGGATTCCAGAGTGCCGGTAAGATACGTATCGATTTCGCACGTTTTGATTTATCCGTGCAAACGGCCGTTGTTCGTTTGTGTAATGCATAATCAATCCTGTAGCAAGGAACGAAGTACTTTTCAGATAGAGAGTCGGCTAATTTCGTCATCATCACGTTATAGTGTATTTCCTTCACGTTTTTACTAGCGCAGTCATGCAAGATCATTTGATCTACAGCTTCCAGAACATCAACACTTATTTCAGTCTTTTGTGGTTGTCAAATATGTGGTTTCAGGTTTGGAGACTTCGAAAAACGAGAGCCTATAATCCGTATCAATGAAATAAAGGAGGAGAGGTGGAGTGCGAAGTGAGATTTTGTTCTACTTGTTCTATCCTTTCGTATTTGCTGGAGTGATTTCTTTATTTTGGGTGTACTGTATGCGACACTCGGCAAGGTGCTTGTATCAAGTGTTCTGTTGATTCCTGTACTTCGTCATTTCATGCTACATGTGCTCTTCGTAGCGGATTAGAGAATGCCGCATTGAAGAATCCAATGAGTTTCACGCAGTGTGGTGGTAGACTAAGGTGCGCTACTTGAGAGAGAAGAGCCCACTCGTGTCTCTTCCTTTTTTTATCGAGGATGTTTAATGTTACTAAGAAAAGGCAGTAAGCAGTTGCCCCATGTTTCAGATACAAACTTCGGTGAAACTCCAGTTCGGGGGGGCCACTCCATTGCTATCTTATCCGTAGTACTAGAGAGCAGTTCTTTGGGCTATCGAACACTACGGATAAGATAATAAGTGAACGACTCATTTCGAGCGTACTTTTGATAAGGACCGGTGGATGTCCTACATTCCACACTACCTGCCCACATCCCATCCACTTTTCTGCACAGGTGATCCACCCTGGAGCTCCTGCACCCTTAGCCCTTTGCGGAGGTGTCCTTTCTCCTGGTCCAGGACCGTTCCCTTGGGTCATGGCAGGCGGAAATGTGAAAACGTTTCAGGGTTTCTCACCCATTACACCAATATTTATCAGAAGTCTACTTTAAATGAGTCGATTACGTGTCGTGAGCCCTCTAATCCTTATCTTGAGTATTGGAGAAAAAATGGAGTGGCCCCCCCGAACTGGAGTTTCACCGAAAATTCTTTAGACGCAATATGGTAACACCACATATTCCTCTCCTAACAATATTTTTGTCTGCAGAAAAAAGGTCATCTTGAAAGATGCTAATTCTAAACGATATGACTGTAAGCATCTTTCTTTTACAATTAACATGCAAGGTTCACTGTCAAAAGCATGTTTCAAAATGGTTGTGACGGAGTTATAGACATCCTTTTATTGTAGGATGCGGTCGATGACAGAATTCACATGATATCGCTTTGTCCGAGGGCATCGTTCCGCAAAGCCCTTCGTAAAAGGACGAGGTCGTGTGTGAACCGAGTCAGGTAGGGAGTGCATTATATTCTGTCGAATAAGTGTGTGTTGTGAGATGTTGTGGAATGTTGTATTTGCATCACCCAGTTATGAATGGTATAACACTGAGTACAAGTGTAGTACGAGCTTATGACTGTGTCGTTATGGAAGTCGTACTTCTTCTCGAATGTCGTGGAAGTGTTGAATAATTCTTATGGCCCTGCTTGAATTATCACTTTAGGCTGCATCTGATGATGAAACTGCTGGACATTACGGCTGCAGTCCTTTGACAAAGCTCGAGCAAAGTTGTTACGAATTCGTAGATCACGCTGCAGTGGCTGCAAAGTAAGACCACTTCGGGAATTTGCTCCTCTCATCTCCATGTTTGCGAATAAATACTATATTTTGTTTTTCCAGGTTGGAACTTGATCCGTTACTCGTAGCTGACGTCTTTGCCTATTGGGTGAAAAAGCGCCTGCATCTGAACAATGGGAAACCACTCATTGAAAACTTGCAAGATGAAATCAAGGTGCATTTTTGATCACTATTGCTGTAGTTCTTGTGAATGTATCCTTTATGATCAGTTTCACATGTCTCGTTGTTTAGGTTGTCGAACCGGAACCACCACAGCTGGAGTTACCTGTATATACTGAGTATAATTCTCATGTTTCTTCGCCGTCTACAGCAGTTAAAAGAAAACGTGGTCGTCCGAGGAAAAATCCAGTGGTAAAATGAGGCACCATCAACTCCTGAAGCAAAGGTTTTGGATGCAAAAACGCTTCACGCTAAGGAGAGGTTGGAGCGTTCCCTTTGTGAGGTCAGTGTTTTTTCTTTTTCATTCCTATGCGACAATCTCCATTTCATCTCTATCTCTTCGTTAGGACTAAGCTTTCCAAATAAATTTAGTGAGCTGAAATCACCTTCTTTTAGAAATGACGACTATAACGGGTGCAGTGAAGAAAGTTGGAAAAGTCTAAAATACTTCACAAAAAGTGAAATTCTATTCAGCTCGAGTTCCTTTCCTCGTCAAACATCGGCATTTGTTCCAATTTTAGATTTTTTCCTATGTTAATGCGGTGGGCAGGTGGAATCTTCGTTAACCGGCTGTCGTTTCGTCCATGTCCTCATAGGCCTATCTGCCTATGGCGGAGCAACAGCACTAGTTGCCAGTTGTTATCACTGAATCAATTTATTGAGCGTTCAATAATAGCGACTGACCGAGTGGCGTATTTCGCTTCTTCACAGACGGGTTGGGCTGTTGGGAAAGACGATCTTCACAAACAATCGACCACTAACACACCTGAGGGCGCATGCATAGTCGGTCGTCCGATCGTTAATCGTACAGCGTTAGATTCGCATGCTCATTCAATTCTTACGCGATGCGCATCCAATGCTGTAAGACCGTTACGATTGGACGACCGAATATGCACGCGCCCTAACAGCTCCATAGAAACAAGAAATGTAATAGAGAGGAAG